AATTGAAACACTAGGTATCATGATGTAAAATGATGAATGAGTGGTGAGACAGAGCCACTGCTGGCAGTGAATACAAACTAACGAGATCCATCATTTTTCGAAAATTCGAATAAGAGCAAATTCAGAACGTTTATGAAATGTATGATTTTTGTTTGTTTGTACTTTTGAAATGTTATCAGTTTTGGGAGTTATGAACCAAACGTCGATTTTGTAACGCACAATTTATTATTTGGTTCATGATTCTTAGTAAGTATAAAATTGGAAGAAAGAATGTGGCGGGAGTTTTCGAAAAATGATCGGACTCGCGACTATAGTCTAAAGGAGTCAACCGACTGCTGAGTGCGACGACACAACAATTTTCCTGAAGTCTTTTGTACCATAATTATTTGTACACTTACTGGTAAAGCTAATATGGGTGAAACTCTATCTATAGTAATATAATCATTCTCATTTTGACAATAAATAATATATTTTCTGAACAATTTAACCAACAATCTTTCTACAATTGGAAAGGCCATCCGAATATTAAAATCACATCGTAATCTAGACTCTTGTTTTTTTTACTCTTTTAATATTTAAAATTACTGGCAACTTTTCCTATATAGTACATAAATATTGCCCATATTTGTTTAAGGTATTAGGTTGACTCCTGAGTAAATTAATATGTGCTTTTTGCAAGTCCAAAGGTCAAAAAAATCACAATAGAACAAAATGTATTTGCAAGGATATTCAAGTAATCAAAAATGAATTTCGAAATTGACGAATAAATATATAAATTCACAACAAAAATATAAAAATATAAAATTATACAAATAAAAATAATCAAAGATATCAATTGTAAAAATGATAAGTTTTTTTTGAAGTTAACTTGGACTTTTAAGGCAATAGATGGCGCTGAATTATCGTGTGTCTAAATAAAAATACTTCTGTCTCGTTTTTTATGAAAATATGTTTATCTACATCGATGAAAAATATGTTTATTATGTACGTTATTAATGTAATGCTTTTTGCGCGAAACCGACAAAAAACTAAAAATAATTACTGGTTTTTAGATTTACCGATTTATTTTACAAAAACTGTGATTCTCTGTGTAAAATTTTTGAATGTTTCCTGTAGATAGTGTTGCCCATGGCTGAAGATGAAAAGATCCACCTGTCCACTGTCCTAATACATAATCAGCGCACATTACTTAACAACATCCATTAATCAATAGCGCACATTAATTAAAGCGTACATTAAATAATAGCGCCCATTAAATAATAGTGCATATTAATAGCGCACATTAATTAATAAGCGCACATTAATTAATAGCACACAATACTTAATAGCATACATTTGTTGCATATTGTTTGTGTGTCCAAATTGTCCGTTATAACTTGATGAGAAAATTATCCACCAGTCAGCAACATTGTCTATAGACATATTAAGAATCTCTTCTATCTATCGACTGCGAGGACCATGTCATTGGATAACCAACTTAGACAGTGCAGATCGTGCTCAGTCACTTCGAAAAAACCTCGATAAACTTCTTTTCCAGATACACTAGCAAGAGTAGAGGCTACTAAAATTAGTAGGTGAGTAAGAGGAGGTTTACCTAAGAGTATGACGAAATCAATATGCTAGAGAGAGAGAAAGTAAGTAAAACAGTGTCATTACAAGTTGCTACAGCGAGTTAGAACAACTATAGTGTCATCGACAATGAAAGATGTCTTTAAAAATCTCGAATGGCTACTAAAGCAACTGCAAAGAAATTTCCGATAAAAATGTGTATCTATTTGACCAAACAAGTCATAATTTCTAATCAAGTTAGTTTTCCCAGATCCAGTGATTTAGCTAACCTTAGAAATAAAGATTCTTCGCAATGGTACCAAAGTGAGGGAAAGCCAACATTTCTTTGGCCAGATGCATGAAAAATAGAAGCACCAAACTGCAGGTTGCAATCAAGAACCAGAAAGGAATGATGATAAAATTGAGGAATCAATGTAAGGAAACTGATAAGATCTCAAGATCTTATTGAGTCGCTAAACGCTTCTTCAATGTCCCCCAACCACTGAACAAGATAACGAGATGGCATGTTGACACGAGTTGCTGTCGACAGATGACATTTAACAGATGACAGCAATAGACATCGTAGTAGCTACAGTACCAGCACAGAGATTCGAACTTGACACCATACATATTGAATAGAGACATTACATGAGAATCGCAGTCTGTCGAATGAAGATAGAGCCTCGATATGTATCGTATCGAAAGATGAGAATCCCACTTTCGTGAGCTGACTTTTGAAATAAAGATTCTGGACAGAATGTATGGGATAGTTACGGTAGTGAACAATTCGGCAAGAAGAATGTTTATGGTGGTACCAGAGCGAGGGAAAGACATAATATTGTTGAACAGATGCATAAAAGATTGGGGCATCCAAGGGGTGATCCATTATCAAAAAACTGTAAGTTTTCACACAAAATTACAGAAATCGTTACAAATTGCAGGTTTTACAATCAAGAACCAGGAAGGAATGATGATAAAGTCTGGGAATCCCTGTAAGGAAACTGATGAGATCATACAATCTCAAAGAAGAAGAAATATACCCCTACGCAGTGTTGCCGATGGGCGGAAAATTCTTTGCGTTCCGGAGAAATTGAGCAGGTTAGGAAAATTTGGCTGGAAAATAAAATTTCGCAGATGTCGAAATTTATTCAAAGAATCCAAATTTCTCGAAGATATTTCGGACATTCAAGTAAAAGTTGACGATTGATTGTTAACGGTCGATTGGTGATATTTATTTAAAAAAAGGCTAGTTATTGAATTAAGCGGAGAATTTCGTGTTTTCGGAGAATTTGGATATCTGTCACCGGAGAATCGAGGAAAAACTTGTGACAACACTAGGACTGGGCAATTATCAAAATAAATAATCGATTAATATCGATTTATTTCAATTAATTGAAAATAATCGATTATTTTCGGTCCGTTAGTTACTCAATTAATCGATTATTCAATTAGTCGATTATTTTAGATCCGTCTGTTAATCAAGTAATCAATTATTCGATTATTTTCGATTAATCGTTTATTATATTGTTATCGAGAAATTGATAATTTTCCAAATAATTTTTCAGAAAATCGATTAATCGATATATCGATATTATTTAATACGTTTTTAAATTGTTAATAATTTATCGATTATTAGTAAATATCTTATTCAATTAATATTAATAGGATAATTAAACGATCGTTTTATAATATCGAGTTATCGATCACATTTATTCGAAAAATTAGTTTTACTTATTAAAAACAAAATTTTTGTACATTTTTGTATTTCGATTAATCAAAAATATTAATTAATTAAAAATAATCGGTTAATCAAAAATAATCGATTAATCGAAAATAATCGATTAATCGAAAATATTTAATTAATCGAAAATAATCGATTAATCAAAAATAATCAATTATTAAAAATTAATCGATTAATCGAAAATAATCGATAAATTAATAACCGAATATAAAAATAACTTAAATTAATATATCGATTAATATAATAATCGATTATCCGATTATTCGAAAGTAATCTAGTATTTAAATAATTATTTGAAAATAACTGATTATAGATAATTATTCAATTAATCGAAAACACTGTACTCGTATAAAGCGAAAATAATCGATTAATTGAATAAACAAAAATAATTGAATGATTGTTCTTCTTGTATTTCCTTTAAAATCGATTAATTCGTCATTAGATTATTTAAATTAATCGATTAATCTAAATAGAATATAATAATTATGTTTCAAAAATCGAAAATAATCGATTAATTGAAAATATTCGAATAATCGAAAATAATTTATTAATCAAAAATAATCGATTTATCGAAAATCGATAAATTAATAATAACTGAATATAAGATTAAAAATCACTTAAATAAAATCAATATATCGATTAATCCAATAATCGAGTTTTTGAATAATTATGTGAAAATAACTGATTAATGGAAAATAATCGAATAAATTTAAAATATTCGATTTATTGTATTTCCTTTAAAATCACTTAATCGGTCATTCAATCATTTCAACTAATCAAAAACGATCATTATATTTAAAAAATCGAAAAATAATCGATTAGTCGAAAGTAATCGATTAATTAAAAATAATCGATTTTTAGAAAATAATCGATTAACCTAAAATAAAAGATAAATTAATAATGACCAAATATAAAATTAAAAAATCCCTTAAATAGTATCAATATAACGATTAATGGAATATCCGATTAGTCTACAGTAATAAATTTACCGATTAATCGAAAATAATTGGATTTTTGAATAATTATTTGAAAATAACTGAATAATGACATAATCGGTTAATCAAAAATAATATATTAAGCGAAAATAATCGATTAATTTAAAAATCATAATCGATTAATTGAATAATTGTATTTTTTTGTATTTTCTTTTAAATCGAATAATCGGTCATGATTATTTCAATTTTCAATTAACAAAAGTCGAATATAGTAATTATTTTTAAAATATCGATAAATCGAAAATAATCTATTAATATAAAATGATCGATTAATTGAAAAGAATCGATTAAACGAAAATCGAAAACAATCGATTCATTATAAAAAAAACGATTAATCGATTATATATTTTTGTTAATTAATCGAATAATCGATTATTTTGCCCACCCCTAAGCAACACTTCTCCTTATAGACGCTTCTTCAACGTTTCCCAACACTTGAACAAAGATAACGAGATGGCATGTGACATTACTGTTGACAGGTGACATTTAACAGATAACTATGAAAGGCAGTGCCGTCTAGCGGCGAAAATGATGATACTGAGCTCGTACCGGCTTTGCTTATCTACTAATCTGCTAAATTAATTTTTATCGAGCAAAGTTGGACCAGAAAACCTCAATTTTGAGTTAAATATTTAATATGATGAAATTTTTGAGTTCAAATTATCAAAATTAAATTAAACAATTTTATATTGTTATAATTCCTATTCGTTTAAATAGTCAGTTTCTTTTTGTCAAGTTATTTTATAATTATTAATTTAAATATTTTTAGTTTTTTGTCGGTTTCCATTTTCTTATCTAGCTGCAGAAAATCTAAATGGCGGAAACTATATCGTATAAAAAATGAGTAGACTATGAACTACACATCCAGTTTTAAACATCGATAGTTTATTCTCAAGGCAGGATAGTCTATTAAAAAGAGGTTATGTTTTTTTTTTTAATATATATATTTTTATATACTCAATGCCTCATCCTTTTACTGAAGAATGGCACTCATCGGAAAAATAGCACACAGTTCAACAACATATCGGTATGTCTGAAATCACTTCACTTTTCTCAATTTATTTCTGCTTTTTTTTTTAACGGACGGCTGCTGTTGAATTTCATCATTTCTTTTTTTAAGAGCTTATTTTCGAAGTAATTCCGCCCCCATTCGGTGCTTCAGAATCCAAGAATTTTAACTACATTGCACTCGTATCGGACATTTTTCTCTCTTATCCACCCACCCATTTCCCAAATTTTTCTTCTTTTGCTGCTTCATTGTTTTCTCTCGTCGTTTTTGCACCAGCCCTCAGACTTTATGGATCCGTGTTAAATCGGAAAGGCACCTTGAATGTGTTTTTTTTTTCAGTCCTATCCAGTCTTACCAATTTAAGTAAGCATATCGCCAAGAAAGTTTCTTATATAAAAGTTTCATAGAGGCTTAAAAAAATCTACGTATAGTTTGATTTTTAATTAATATATAAGTCGAGCTACGTCACGTTAATGACCTAAACGGTTTTTTTTTATTCTCTTCTATCATCATCTATAGGTGCCGTCGTGTTAGTTTTCAGTAAATAAAAAAAAGGAGTAATATATATTTTCACAGCCAGCTTGGTGGTGCCACGTATTTCCGTCCAATTTTCTTCTATATACAACTTTTTAAAAATCAAACGAACAGTTATAACTCTCCGGCACCACCCTTTCAAGGTTATTATCGTCGGTCGCGTAGACTATGTCTTCAAGTCGACGTCCCAGATTTCTGCCAGGAACGGAGGTAACTTTTTGTTCTTCAACTTCAAGCTGAAACACATCTTCGAATTTTGGTTGCCCAAAGTCCTTAGCTCCGTCAACACTGACAACAATTTTGCGAACACCGTGCCCGGTTTCGTCTTCCTTCGGTTGTCTACGTACGCCCGCAAGGCTTCCAGGTAAATCTCTTGGATCTTTTCCACTTTCCAACCCTCGATTAGGTCCGGTCGCTCTGAAACACAATAAAATTAATTATGACATTATAATTAACAAGGAGGTCCTATACATTTATATGCATTCTTCTTATACTTATTTTGGTAATAACATAATAGATCATTTGATTCGTTTTCTTTATTAAATTTACGAAAATCTTTAGTTCTACTTCTAGACCTTGAAAGAGATCTACAGTAGCAATTTTGATTAAAATCTACACCAGATATGTGAGAGGATCCTTTAGTTTCTAATATTATATATTATTATAGTCTTGTTTTCTAGTTCATTTTGTTTTTTAATTAAATCACCCATCATTAGTTTAAAATTGATTTAAACAATATATTGATTTGGAAAAATTTAGAATTTCTATAATTTTATCAATAGTATAAATTTCGTCTTTGTTACATGTGAAATTAGACAAGTATTATAAGTAATTTTAAAAAAACCGACTTCAAAATCGTGCAGATGCCATCACCACATCTTATCCAAATTTATATGGGATCACCCCTGAGGTATCCCCTTACTAACAAAAAAAGAATAATGGAAATCGGACAAGGTGATAAAGAATTATCGCTAAACATATAAAAAAATGAAGAGTTTAAGGATTTTATCATGGACCCAATTTTTAGATTTTAACCAAATTTATATGGGACCACCCCTGAAGTACCCCCTTTCTAACAAAAAAGAATCATTAAAATCGGACACCGTTTTAAAGAATTATGGCTGAACATACATAAAAAAAAATATTGTGTCGGTTAAAAATTCAAATTAAAGTCATGTACCAAAATTTATAATACATATTTTATGACAATAATGAATTGGCCAATTATGTTTTTAAAATAATTTCAAAAACAAGAAAAATTGCCCGTTTATTTATATCAGACAACATTTAAATTTGTGCGGACACATTAAAAATGATGATAGCCTAGAATATTTCATAATCTATTGGAAAAAAATCGATTTTCTGAATAATTGATTATAATGAAATAACTGATTAATGAATAATAATCGATCTCTCGATTAATAGAAATCAATTAAAAAATAATCGAAAATACTCGATTAATCGAAAACAATCGATTATTTTCAATTATTCGACAAATAAAAAAAATCAATTTTTATTTTGATAACGTTCTTCAGTTAATCAGGTAATCGATTATTTTTGCTTATTAGATTGTTTTCGATTATTAAAGTGTTTTCGATTAATCGATTATTTTCCCCATAATTATTCAGAAAATCGATTATTTTTTATTAATCGATATATTGATTACTTAACTAATTTTAGACTTATAATCGATTATTAGTTTATCGATTATTAGTAAATATTTAATTTAATTCAATTCATATTATTATATTAATTATACGACCGTTTCATAATATCGAATTATCGATTACATTTATTCGAAAAATTAGTTTTACTTATATCGTGAGCTAAAAGCTACATTTTTGTATTTTTTTGATATTCGATTAATCAAAATTATTAGTAAATTATCTTTAAAAAATCGAAAATAATCGATTAATTGAAAATAATCGATTTATCAAAAATAATCGATTATTTGAATAATTATTTTAAAATAACTGATTAATGGAAAATATTCGATTATTCGAAAACAATATATTGAAAGAAAATTTATCGTATAAGATATTCAAAAATAACCGTTTTATTGAATAATTGTACGTTTAAACCCGATTAATCTGTCATTGGATTATTTCAATTAATCGATTATTCAAAATCAAATATAATTAAATAATCTTTGAAAAATCGAAAATATTCGATTAATCGAAAATAATCTATTAATCGAAAATAATCGATAAGTCAAAAATAATCGATAAATAAAAAATAATTGATAAATCTAAAATAAGCGACTATTCTAAAATAAGCGATTAATCGAAAATAATCGATTAATAGATAATAATCGATTAATAAAAAATAATCGATTAATAAAAAATAATCAATTAATCGAAAATAATCAATTAATCGAAAATAATCAATTAATCGAAAATTATCGATTAATAAAATAATCGCTTAATTAATAATAATCGAATTATCAATATATCGATTAATTTAATAGTCGAATATCCGATTATTGGGCAGTAATCAATTTAATGATTAATCGAAAATAATCGAGTTGTTGAATAATTATTTGAAAATGACTAATTAATGAAAAATAATCGAAACAATGCATTAAGCGAAAATAATCGATTGCTGAGTTATTAAAAATATTCGATTAATTGAATATTATACTTATTGTATTTCCTATAAAATCAATAAATCGGTCATCCGGTTATTTCAATTGATAAATTGATCAAAAACGAATATAATTATTTTTTAAAAATGGAAAAATATGATTAATCGAAAATAATCGATTAATTGAAAATAATCGATTTTCTGAATAATTTATTATAATGATATAACTGATTAATGAAAAATAATCGATCTCTTTGATTAATAAATTATTAAAAAAAAACAGTTAAAAAATAATCGAAAACACTCGATTATTCGAAAATAATCGATTATTTTAAATTATTCGACAAATCGAAAATAATCGTTTTTTTTATTTTCTCTATTATTGATTAGGGATTGACGATTATAATAAATAATCGATTATCTATTCTTTAAAATAATCGATTTTTTTTCGTAATAATCGATTAATTGAAAATATTCGATAAATCGAAAATAATCGATTAATCTAAAAAATCAATTGATCGAAAATATTCGATTATTCGAAACTAATCAATTATTTAAAAATAATTAATCGAAATTAAAAAATTATCGACTAATTAATCAATTATTTTGTCTACCCCTCCATGAAATACCGAGATATAATAGGGGTTGCGTTCTCGGTAACAATTCAGAATTGATAATGAATCGGACATGCGCTCAAAGTATGAATTAGTAGTTCAGAATCAATTCAGGATGGTTAAACTTAATATAAATCCAAATTAATTAAAAACAATCGAAAATAATCGAATCATCGAAAATAATCGATTAATCGAATATAATCGATTAAATAACAAGAATCGGTTCTTAGAAAATAACCGATTAATCGAAAATAATCGATTAATCGAAAATAATCGATTTGCTGAATAATTAATTATAATAAAATAACTGATTAATGAAAAATAATCGATTTGCTGAATAATTAATTATAATAAAATAACTGATTAATGAAAAATAATCGATCTCCTTGATTAATAGATTCCGTTAAAAAACACTCGACTATTCGAAAATAATCGATTATTTTAAATTATTCGACAAATAGAAAATATTCGATTTTTTATTTTCCCTTTTAATGATTAGGGATTTGCGATTATTAAAATAAATATTCGATTATTTATTTTAATCATAAAAATGAATGGATCGAAAACAATTATTTAATCGAAACTCATCGATTATTAGAAAATAATACATTAATTGAAATAATCGAAATCGATTAATCAATTATTTTTTTCTATCCCTACCTGAAATAGGCGATATAATAGATACAGATATTATAGGTTTTGCGTTCGCGGTAACAATTGAGAATTGATAATGAATTGGACATTAGTAGTTCGGAATCAATTTAGGATGGTTACCACTTGTTACAACACTTAATATAAACCCAAATTAATTAAAAACTTAATCAAAAATAATCGATTTATCGAAAATAATCGATTAATCGATTTAAAAAAATAATCGACTAATCGATTAATAATCGATTGTTTTGCCACCTCTAGTATTGATTCTACTTCTCACCTCATATTTAGTATGTACACAATAGCAGTTTTCTTATACCTTTTTTAGATTAATAAACATAATTTGGAACATGACTTTCCTTAATATTTTTTTCTTAAGAAGTTATAAATTATAGAAACCGTCTTACCGGAAAAAATGACGATGGCAGTGAGCAGGGCGTACTCGGCATTGTCCACTTGCATAGAGTACATGGTCCTGCAGAAATACAGCAGATCTTCGATTTGTTCGCCCATACCGGCGAGGTTATAACTGTCTCTAGAATATGGCTGGTTATTGACGAACAGAATAGAATCCGTTTGGTAATCGTATCTCCTCGCCATCCTGAACATCATTACTTCACTTGAACACGCCTAAAAAATAATTGAAAATAAATATAAAAAACTTATTGTTATGAGCCAAACGATGTTTTTTCTATTTAAAACACATTATTATCTATTTTAGACGTTATTTATATAATAACTTATGAACCAAAGGATGTTTCGTAATTTAAATTGCATCATTTGGTTCATAATTTTAGTAATATTATTCGATGATTACCTTTAGAAGTGATATCTGATCTTCCCTTAGAAGCTTGTCGAAGCCTGGTAACCTTTTCGCGAACTCTACGATGAGTTGTACAGTCAATATTGTAATTTCTGTTATATGTCTAAACCGTATATCACATTGATCTTCTCCTTCCATCGGTGTATTCTAAAAATGAGTTTAAATATTAGTAGAATATAAATTTTAAATTTGAGAAGGTGAAAAGGCTATTATTATGCCTTATTGTCTTGAATAAAATGTCTCTGCTATATCGTATGCAATTTGGAATGCCATACATATAAATAACTGACCCGAACAAACTGTATGTGAAAATAAAAACCTTGATTGATAACGCGAAAATCTACTTTTGAGGATTTATAAAAAATTGTATAAACAAAACGAAATTATAAACATCTAATATTCGGAAAAACAGAAGAACTAATCTGTTAAACATACAAGGTATTTTTAATCGTAAATCCAAATAAGTACGGCGCCATATATTTTAATATTGCAAAAACCTAATCTTTAACAAGCCTTTACTACAAACTAAAATTAAAATATCAGATCTAGCATGTAGACATTAACGGCATTTTTTAAGTAAACCGAATTGCATCACCCTAAAATACGATATATGTGAACCATATCCTGTCTTGAATAAGCGCAAAGTACATCATTGGCCAACAAAGAATCAAATATAAATACGTCACAGACCGCAGCATTTTTGAACAAAACATTTTCTGAAATTTTTTATATCATAACAAGTTTTAACAAAAACCTCTTGTAACAATTATTACCAATGAATAAACTAATGTGGCGAAACAAACTTCATTTTTAAAGAATGTCTAAATAAGGCGATCAGTTACAAATTCATTGATTACACAATCATACTCATTATTCGTACTTACAGATTATGCATGTAGTTATTTATTCATACTTACACGTTATGTGCCAATTTATCGTACTTACACATTGTGCAACCAGCCAATTTTCGTACTTACACGTTATGCATATAGCCAATTATTCGTACTTGCACGTTATGCATGTAGCCAATTTTCGTACTTACAAGATATGCATGTACCCAATTATTCGTACTTACACATTGTGCAACCAGCTAATTTTTATACTTACACGTTATACATATAGCCAATTATTTGAACTTACACGTTATGCATGGTGTACAATTATTCGTACTTACATACTGTGCTACCTGTCAATCATTTGTACTTACACGTTATGCATGTAGCCAATTATTCGCACTTACATATTGTGCCGGACAATTTTCATACAAACAGCATACAAACTGCCAATTTTCGTAAATACAGCATACACATAGCCAATTTTCGTACACAGGCTAAGTGTAAACAGCCAATTATTCGTAAACTTACCACAATTCGTTTGACGTCTTCTTCTGAAGGGTGTTCGTATTCGTTCTGGAAGTATACTAATCGATGTATAAGTTCCTCTTGTTCAGGAGATATGGGTTTGATGCCGTTTGGTGGAGTACTGGTTTTCTCCGAGTCCGATAGCTGCAAGAACAGCATCTACATATTTCGTTAGTTTAAAAGTGAACGAGGGATCACTTAAGACCCAAATGATCACAGAAAAGTAATGCTTAACAATTTTGGCGAAGAAGTTAATTTAGTGAGGTTAGATTTTAAATTATTGTACGAAGAAATAATTTGATTCGTATCCCAATATGTTTTTCTATTTCTTATAATTTTAACATTACATTTTTGATATCACTTGTGAGTATTGTGATTACTATTAAATATTGTTAATTTTCCTACATTCAGATAGGAAAGTGACATATCGCAATTAGTTGGTTATGTAATATATCACTTTCCGCACTAGTAGTGTAATAACCAATTTTTATTTACCTCTGGTTCCATTTTTATCATTTCCGGCGATCCATTCGTGGTACTGTTCGGTTTGTCCTTTTCTTTTTGAGCTTTCTTTTCTTTTCGTTTCACAGCACATTGTACTTCTGGTACCACACATTCCGGCCTCATGCCCACGCTCAAGCATTTTTTCAAGCGACACTCTTGACATTTCCGCCTCATGTACATGTCAATCTCACAATTGTTGCCATATTTGCATTGGTAGACGGCGTTCTTCGTTATGCTTCTTCTAAAGAAACCTAAAGTGAAAACAGAAATAAAAAACATTTGTAGGTCAGAGAAATAATAAGGTTTCGGTCATAGATAAATAAAAAGAGAGAGATGGATTGATGGACTTGTTTCCTAGTTTGTAGTTTAACAGTAATACTATAAAGCCGTTTTACACCCATACAATAAATTTTTCTCACATAATGATGAAGAAATCAATAACTTTACAATGTGAGTTCAAAATTCAGAGATAATCGTTATAAAAGCTAAATTTAAATATTATGAATTATGAGGTGGTGTATACCTGGCTTTGATCATAAATTAGGTTATGTTGTCTTAAATATATCACTGAAATTTTCTGCGGGAAATGTCGGTGAGTAAAATATAAATAATTTTAATGACTTTAGTTCAAGTAAGATTTAAGTGATTTATAGCTATCAAAATACAGTGAGGTTCTTAAGGATGCCATTTTAACCTGTAATAGATTTTTAGACAGAAAACGGTACAATGCAAACACAAATTAGAAATGTTATAATTCATACCAGCTTTGAAAACATCTGTTCTAAATAGTTTAATAACTGCTAATAACTACAGCACTAATTGTAAGGTATTTAATATTAGTTGTAGAATTTAAATAATTTAACAACCACTACTTTTTGACCAATAAGAAAATGAATTGGCTAATCCTGAAATTTAAAAATTTAATATCGATCATTGGATTTTTAAAATGAAAGGAATTTTGAAGTATATAAAGCCAATTTAGGAACATATAGTTTTCCTCTCTAGAACGTTATCATAGTTTTACTCATTTTAAAGAACATGATGAAACAAGTCTTTGGTTCATGGTAATTTTTTTATCAAAAATTACTTAAAAGTAGACATAAAGAACGCATTGTTCAAAAACTAATTTTATATTTAGGGTAACATGTTAATTTTTTGTAGTTGCCTTTTATTTATTATACGAAAATAAACTTGTAGCACCCTACCACTACGACAACCCGATGTACACCTTGTGTGTATATAAAGTTGCGTATGGCCTATGGCAGTGCAGTTTGCCGCGTTTCTAAGACTTCAAGACGATTCTTGGCTAAAACCACATACTTTGATTAATATATGGTGAACGAGAGAGGTCCGACACGCCCAACATAGGGCGCGGCCATTTTGATGCCTTTACCACAGTTTATAGCTAAAGAATCAGTTCGCTCACTCTGCGTCGGCACATTTGATCTCAATGTTCCAGTTTATACACTGCGCAACTCGGATAATACAATATATGACAACCGCCTATAATAAAACAGCAGTCTTCTGCGCATCCTGAGTTTGTATCCCTGGAGTGGATGTTATTTTGGAATTTTCAACTGGTCCGAGTGAGCTAACTGATTCTTTAGCAATAAACTGTGACTCCAAAAATAATATTCACTGACACTGACAGCAGCAAGCAAAATATCAGGTGTGTTTTCATCATCCGCTTCTGCTTCCGGAATTGTCGGTTTAGTCGTTTTAACCTGTCAGATTAAAACAAGAAAACCGACAATTCCGAAGCAGAAGCGGATGATTAAAACGCACCTATTAAAAATATTGCGCCAAGATGTAGGCAACACGTAATAAGGGTTCAAAATGGCGGAGTAAAAGAAAATCAAAGTATGTGTAAATATGTCACTCTGAAATTTTCTGCGGGAAATGTCGGTGAGTAAAATATAAATAATTTTAATGACTTTAGTTCAAGTAAAATTTAAGTGATTTATAGCTATCAAAATACAGTGAGGTTCTTAAGGATGCCATTTTAACCTGTAATAAATTCTTAGACAGAAAACGGTACAATGCAAACACAAATCAGAAATGTTATAATTCATACCAGCTTTGAAAACATCTGTTCTAAATAGTTTAATAACTGCTAATAACTACAGCACTAATTATGAGGCATATAATAGTAGTTGTAGTGTTTAAATAATTTAACAACCATTACTTTTTGACCAACAAGAAAATGAATTGGCTAATCCTGAAATTTAAAAATTCAATATCAATCATTGGATTTTTAAAATGAAAGGAATTTTGAAGTATATGAAGCCAATTTAGGAACAGATAGTTTTCCTCTCTAGAACGTTATCATGGTTTTACTCATTTTAAAGAACATGATGAAAAGGGCCTTTGATGTATGGGAAACAAGAAATTATTCAATTTTTTCATTAAAAATTGTCTAAAAGTGGACCTAAAAAACGCGTTGTTCAAAAACTAATTTTATATTTAGGGTAACATGTTAGTTTTTTGTAGTTACCTTTTATTTATTATACGAAAATATACTTATAACACCCTACCACTACGACAACCCGATATACACCTCGTGTGTATATAAAGTTGCCTACCCTTGGATATAATTTCTACCCGATCGATATTGTATTCGAGACAGACTTAAAGTCGATTCTTGCCTAAAAAAATAAATCAGTAGATATTTTGTGTTTTACCTTTATATTCAATGTTTTAACTTCTGTCAAATTTGATTTTGTTTTAATACTTTCCAAAAAAAGGGCTCATAAAAATACATAGCAATCAAGACCACCCTTGTTTATATACTGACATTTCTAAAAATTAAAAAAGTAATATCTACGTTAATTTTTAATTTTAAACATTTATTTATTATTATTTATTTTAGTTTTGTCTTTTTTTTTGTTTGATTTTAGAGATTCCTGGGTATATAGTGTTATACGCTTATACTAGAATGAATGTTAGTTTTTGTTTATTCTTTCCGAGCATAACAATAGCGCCAACTAATGCATGAACTAAAGAGCGATATTTGCGTATATTGACAGTATAACTTTTAATAGAATTCATGATTAAAAATATATTTTTTGGTTTAAATAAATGTATATGGATTTATAAAACAAGTGAAAAAATTATTAAAACAGTATATAATCAATAAGGAATGTCAAAATAGAAAACTATCATTAGTTAAGGTGAACTACCGTCCTTTTTTATCGTTCCGATTTTACAGTCTTGTCTAGATTTTTCCCAGATTTAAGCATCAGTCGAAAATAGCATAGATTAAAAGCTCTTTATGAAACCAGTTACGAAATGTCTTATTTTATGTATGCAGTATGAATGAGTTATCGTCAACTCATTTTCTCAACAAGCAGAACTTTTTATAAAGAATGACTTTTGGAGATAAAACGAATAATTTTTTCCCTATTGGGTACCCTCATCCGCAGACACACTGTATATATATTTATCGATCTCGACATTAGAATTGTAAAACGAATAAAAATGTCATTTATGAAAATTTTCTTTTTCTTTGAATTTTAATTTAACTTTCTTATATTGTTATATTATCTATCTTTGTTAATAAAAATGTATCAGTAACGTGTGGAGAGTGGATTACCCTCAGCACTTAGGCCTCATTAGACCAATTGTGCATCCTCCCAAGATGATAGGCACCTCCTAGCTCGTGAGCCGGCCTACAGATTTAATTCTTAGACAGAAAACGGTACAATGCAAACACAAATCAGAAATGTTATAATTCATACCAGCTTTGAAAACATCTGTTCTAAATAGTTTAATAACTGCTAATAACTACAGCACTAATTATGAGGCATATAATAGTAGTTGTAGTGTTTAAATAATTTAACAACCATTACTTTTTGACCAACAAGAAAATGAATTGGCTAATCCTGAAATTTAAAAATTCAATATCAATCATTGGATTTTTAAAATGAAAGGAATTTTGAAGTATATGAAGCCAATTTAGGAACAGATAGTTTTCCTCTCTAGAACGTTATCATGGTTTTACTCATTTTAAAGAACATGATGAAAAGGGCCTTTGATGTATGGGAAACAAGAAATTATTCAATTTTTTCATTAAAAATTGTCTAAAAGTGGACCTAAAAAACGCGTTGTTCAAAAACTAATTTTATATTTAGGGTAACATGTTAGTTTTTTGTAGTTACCTTTTATTTATTATACGAAAATATACTTATAACACCCTACCACTACGACAACCCGATATACACCTCGTGTGTATATAAAGTTGCCTACCCTTGGATATAATTTCTACCCGATCGATATTGTATTCGAGACAGACTTAAAGTCGATTCTTGCCTAAAAAAATAAATCAGTAGATATTTTGTGTTTTACCTTTATATTCAATGTTTTAACTTCTGTCAAATTTGATTTTGTTTTAATACTTTCCAAAAAAAGGGCTCATAAAAATACATAGCAATCAAGACCACCCTTGTTTATATACTGACATTTCTAAAAATTAAAAAAGTAATATCTACGTTAATTTTTAATTTTAAACATTTATTTATTATTATTTATTTTAGTTTTGTCTTTTTTTTTGTTTGATTTTAGAGATTCCTGGGTATATAGTGTTATACGCTTATACTAGAATGAATGTTAGTTTTTGTTTATTCTTTCCGAGCATAACAATAGCGCCAACTAATGCATGAACTAAAGAGCGATATTTGCGTATATTGACAGTATAACTTTTAATAGAATTCATGATTAAAAATATATTTTTTGGTTTAAATAAATGTATATGGATTTATAAAACAAGTGAAAAAATTATTAAAACAGTATATAATCAATAAGGAATGTCAAAATAGAAAACTATCATTAGTTAAGGTGAACTACCGTCCTTTTTTATCGTTCCGATTTTACAGTCTTGTCTAGATTTTTCCCAGATTTAAGCATCAGTCGAAAATAGCATAGATTAAAAGCTCTTTATGAAACCAGTTACGAAATGTCTTATTTTATGTATGCAGTATGAATGAGTTATCGTCAACTCATTTTCTCAACAAGCAGAACTTTTTATAAAGAATGACTTTTGGAGATAAAACGAATAATTTTTTCCCTATTGGGTACCCTCATCCGCAGACACACTGTATATATATTTATCGATCTCGACATTAGAATTGTAAAACGAATAAAAATGTCATTTATGAAAATTTTCTTTTTCTTTGAATTTTAATTTAACTTTCTTATATTGTTATATTATCTATCTTTGTTAATAAAAATGTATCAGTAACGTGTGGAGAGTGGATTACCCTCAGCACTTAGGCCTCATTAGACCAATTGTGCATCCTCCCAAGATGATAGGCACCTCCTAGCTCGTGAGCCGGCCTACAGATTTAATGTAGTTGACAAAGTCGCCAAGAGATGTTTCTCTTATATCGGCCGGTGTTAGCCGATACTCTCCGAACACAAATCTAATAAATGAGAGCGTCGATCATTCGTAAAGGATATGCTCGATGGTTTCATCTTCTTTTTTGCACCCTCTGCAGAGTGCGGATTCTGACAGCCCCATGATATGGACATGATTCTGTACTTAGCAATGACCAGCTACTAGGCGCAGATTCTGTCTAGTCATAGTCAAGTATTTGTTTGCTGCAGTATTGTCAGGATAACTTAAGAGTTCCCTGGTAACTCTGCAGTTTCTCGCTTCATCCCATCTTTCCTTGTGAGGCCAATAGAAGGGCCAGGTCCAAAAACTATTTGGTTAGCTGCTTTCTTGGCTAGTGAATCAGCAAGACGGTTATCTTTCGATGTGGCGTGACCTGTGATCCATCTTAAGGTGACCACATTGTTGATGGATACTTCGGCCAAAGCTTCGAGACATTCTAGTACTAACCCTGAATAAATTCGTGGTCTGTTCAGGGTAAGCAGTGCTTGTCTGCTATCTAGATAGATGAGTATGTTCCTTCCAGTGATATTATTTCTGGTTATTTCTTTTGCTGCTATAAGAATCCCCGTTAGCTCTGTTTGAACCACACTGGTACTATTGTTCACAGCCCATTTTATGTTTAGTTTTAATAATCTGGAGTATATTCCACATCCTGAGCCTTGTTTTGTTTTAGAACCATCGGTGTAGATATGAATTGTACCTGCCACTTCTGGCTCTTCTATTTATTCTATTATAACTTTATATGGCTTATGGAAGATATATCTTGGTGAGATAGAGTCCATAATCGCTTTATGCAGTGGGAGCGTATCGAGCGCCTCCTGCCAAAAGCGATGTCTCGCCTCACCAGATTCTACATCAAAATCTATTCCAACCGTGCGGAGGCATGTCATTATCGTCAGAGCAACCTCCTTGATGTAAATATCAAGGGGAGTGAGACTAAGAATGACTTCCATGGCTCTGGTCGGTGTTGTTTTCATGGCTCCTGTTATGTTGAGACATGCTGTTCTTTGAATTTGTCCTAGTTTGCGGATAGCTGTTAATTTTTGGGTTTTCGATACCCAGACAACTGCACCGTATGTTAGCATAAGTCTTATGATAGCCGTGTAAGTCCATGCGACGACTCTGGGGGAGAAACCCCAGGTGCGCTCCACGGTTCGGCAGCATTGTTCATATGCAATGTATGCTCTTTTAACTATGTTCTCTAAATGCGAGTTCCATGTTACCTTGCTGTCAAAGGTTAGACCTAGGTACTTCACCTCTGTTCCAAAGTTTAGTTTTGTGTTTAGGAGTTCTGGAGGTTTTAATTCCATTTTCATCATTTTCCTTGTGAAAAGGAACATTTCTGTCTTCTTAGGATTGATAGACAGTGAATGGTCCTTGCACTACTGTTCTATATGTATTCTTTCGCAGAGTATGTTTTCAAAATTCCCTGTTTGCAGAATGACCAGGTCATCTGCATATGCTATTGTGTAGTGACTGTTATTATTGAGGCGATTGATGAGGGTGTCGAGGACCATATTCCACAGTAGAGGTGATAGCACCCCTCCCTGTGAACATCCCCTCGCTACCAAGCCTCTTATATTCACATCTTCTACACTTATGTTTACTGCTCGCTTTGAGAGCATGTTATGTATCCACCCACTAATTATTTGTGGAACATTCCGGTTGGTTAGTGAGTGTATTATCTTTGGGAAGTTGGTTTTATCAAAAGCACCTTCTATGTTTATGAAAACACCCAAGGCGGACTCCTTATTGTCCAGGATCTTTCTTTTCGGCCAGCAACTAGATGAAGGGCTGAATCAGTAGATCTGCTTGGGGTGTATGCATGTTGGTTTGGGTGTAGTGGTGTTGTTGTAATCACCACATCCCTTATGTACCTTTCGCATAGCCTTTCTAATGTCTTCATAGAAAACGATGTCAGACTAATTGGTCGGTATGTTTTGGGACAGTGTAATCTATCCAGGTTTGGGTATAAATACCACTTTTACCTCTCTCCATTTTTTGGAGATATACCCACCAGAATGTAATTAATTCTTTAACAATAAATACATTTTGACCTGACAGGTTGTTTCCTAATAGCTCTGTCCGTCATCCGCTCATTTGCAAGAATACCGTCACAATTAAAAAATCATCAATTCTGATATTATTGCATTAACATAATTGAAAAGGTACATTCTTTGTACAGAAACAACGACACTTCAGTAGTTATAATGGTATTTACTTAACGGCGCTACTACCTTTGGCACTTTTCAAGTTTCAGCCTGGTAAATCAATCAATTAAACTTGATTATTTCGAATAGAAGCTTTTTAAGTTGTGCCGATATTCTCGCAAATGAGCGAATTGTCATTATTAAATCGTGACGGAAATACCGTACTTTCTCTTTCTTTAACCAAAGTATAGTTTTAAAAAATAGGACAGCCAGTTTCTATTTTTGAGTTGAATTGCGCTTGTTTTAGTATTTTCTGTTCTATATTGCATTCTATAACATTCTGAGGATGAACAATAATAAAAGACAGAAATCTATTCCTTACTGAACATGTAAGGGATGTTGAAGAACATCGTACAATATTAATTACTTCTTTATTTAAAACCTTTCAATTTTCTGATGTCTACTATTCCCTATATTACTGTTGTTAGAAAAATAAAGGTTATGATAGTACTTATTTTTTCCTTCTTACTGCAGCTATTTATTTTCTTGATTTAGTTTCCATTTTGCTACTGGAAATTTATAAAATTTATAGTTTTTTTTTTGTTAGTATTTACAACAAAAGAGCTCCAGTTGCCATTTTAATACAATGACTGCGCACTGAGCCTGCCTATTTTTAGTGCGTTTGATTTTAACAACTTGTGTGTAAGAAATTATTATTGACTTGACCTTTTGGTTCATTTTATATAGTCTCCTATAAGCAGTGAGTCCTTGAGACATCAGACAAACACACTGGCTCAAATAACATTTTAAGAAAGTATTACTTTTAGAAAATATGGTCCAAACGAATCAAAAATAAGAAAGTGCATCATTTGGACCATAACTTTAAAATTGTTAAAGTTTGTATGAATGGATTTACGTGTTTACCTTTACATCCTTCGCATGTGAGAGCGTTATAATGATACCCTGATGCCCTGTCGCCACACACTAAACATAGTTCTTCCTGTTGCCGCGGTGTTGGTCCTTTTTTCTTTTTCGCATCACAACTGTCAGCACTGTAACCGTTCAAACTGCTCGGAGGTGAGAGATCTTCACGACCTGTAACAAAAATAACATTGAAATTATTATAAAATAGTTTAACTCGTCATAAAAAGAAAACAAGATTGTAATATTGAATGTTGTGATTTCTATTTCAATGAACATGTGTACCGTTCCTTGCATAATAGTTTTCAAGTTGTCTTTGGCGTTTCCATTATGGTAGGAAGCCTTGAAGAATATTCCATAAACATAACTTAAAGAATTCTATGTGGCTCAGCGTACAAAATAAATATTCTTATGGAGATCAATGCGCTGCATGCTATTCATCTGGTGACAATCTATGTATGCGTCCTTGACTCGCGAGGGACACAGTGATACATGATGACAAATTAACTGTACAAAATTTGTAGTTGCATTTATTAATTAGGTACATATTATGTAAAGTAAAATAAATCTATTTTAAACGATTATAAAACAGTATTGAACAACACAGAAAGCAATTTAACCATTTTGATAAATGAAAGCCAAATTTGGAAATAAACGAAAGTAACGAGTTTGACCCAGAATATAAATTTAAAAGCGTGTAAATAGCTTTGGCTAAGGAGTAGTGTTAAAAATATATAAAATGCTGTTAAAATTGAACCACAATCTTCTTGGGTTCAAATTTAATATTTATAAAAATTAGTGGATTATTTCAATATACAAGTGTACTGAAATTTAAAAACAGTCCTCACTGCAGTGATGCCAGGTCTGGGGAAATGTCCCTAGTTCTAGGGACAAATGACTAAATTTATTTTTACTAGGGAGATGGGGAACTTCTAGGGATTTTTATCTGTCTTGTGACAATTCTATTTAATACTGTTACACACACTAAATTGGATATTTTAAAAAACAAAAACCGTTTTGTACCTTCTCGACCTCTACTGATGTAATAATACAAGTATAATAATATAATAACCTTTGTATTTGTTTTATTTATATGAATTATACGATACGTAACGTACTGTACGTATCGACAGTGTTGCCAGGCCTACTGTTTTAACAGTAGAGCTACTGTTTTTGTTTTGTTAAAATTAAGTGTTGAAGAATTTTGGTTTAGGTTGAGTCAAATGAGAAACTTTACAGATGATCTAGAATATTCTAATATTATAAAATTAGCCAAATTATGTATGATTTTACTGCACAGTAACGCCGAGGCGGAAAGGGTTTTCTCTGTAGTTTCAGATGTGAAAACAAAAAAAGAAACAAAATTGGTAGCTAGGTCATTAATGCTGTTTCTGTTATTAGATTTTTATCCAAAAATTGTTGTCAAGGATTTACTGTTATGGATAATCACGTGAAATTAAAGAATTTATGCGATCCCAATCCGTATAAATCGGTATTTTTTAAAATATATTTTTATTTTTTAGCTAATATTTTTAACATGTTTGAACTGTTTTTAAATAAAGCGTTTTTTGTTCAGCGTTTTTAAAACAGTTTATTAAAAAAATGTCATAAATGTCAAACATGGTTGAATTTTAGATTAATAAATATCTAGGGAATTCTAGGGAAAAAATTCCAAAAATCTAGATACTTTTAACTGAAAGCAGTTGGCATCACTGCCTTACTGTCCTCAGTCAACGCTTGTATTTCGAGGTAATTAGTTAATATTTTATAGAAACGGTAGTTGGAAAGTTCTTTCGATCTAGGCAGTGTTGCCAGATGAACATTTGCTGGAACAGTATGGGTGCAAAAAAAAACCGTAGATCTGAAGAGTAAATTTTAATACAGAGGGAAATAATTATAATTTGCAGTACAGTAAACAAAAAAAAGTATATTATAAACGAAAAATAAACATTTTTCTACCCAAATTAGAAAGTAAACAAAGAATAAAAACAAATAATATTTTTAAAATATACTTAACGTACGGAAATAAAAAAAGAAACCAATGAAAAATAATAGGTACCTACTTCTTTTAGATAAGTCTGAATCAGATAATTCAAAAACGTTGTGTTTGGCATGTATGTTCTTTTTATGATGCCCTATTAATTCTTTGTTGTATTTTAATTTTATGGAGCAAACCTACAGTAATGGATGCTTATTACGATACTTTTATTTCAGCAAATTTACTAGAGAAAATATTATTTGACAATTTGCTGAAGATTGAAGCAAACTTAATAAATTAAGAACAGACTTTGTTGAGTTGGCGGAAACAGTAAGTTTCATGCCTGAAACCGGAGAACGTGGACAAAAACAGGGGATCTACTTAAAAACAGTAGGACTGATCGTTTCCTCGAATTGTGGTCTTTCGAAATGGTACCTTAAATGTGTAAATCACTGACAGTTTTACCTCTATATCTCTCTAGCCAGGTATATGAAAAAACTAAATAAAATACACAGAGTGTTCTATTGAAAAAAACATGACGTGGCCATGAGTTAAATTTACAACGACTATAAAGTTACATAAGCAAAAAGGCATCCCCTTTATATAGGGTTACGATCTGACTCAATAAATACGGTCTCGACCGGATTTTAAGGGTTCAGACCGGACTCCGCCCGGATTTTAAATAAAACTGCGTGAGTACCTGTTGACCTATTGACGTTTTTTTTCTCTTTCTTGTTCTTTTATTATGTTTTGTATAGTTGACATGTAAGTGTACTGTATCTTATGTATTTTATTGTATTTTGAATGTATGTTGATTCTATACTTATGTATTTTTAATATTTTAAATGTGAAGATGTATTGACATGTAAAAAATAGTTTTTTTTTACTAAATAAACGATTTATATACAATATTACTCAATATAATTAAAATATAATTACAAACACATGAAATGTGCCGAATTTCACAGTGAAATTTCTTTAAAAAATAATTTTTTGAAAGCTATTGTGAGTGGACAAAAATAACAATTAATCCCAAATAAAAACTTAACCAAATCTATTGAGTATTATTTTGGAAAAAGGCTGGACTTTTTTCCAGAAATCAGGATTTTTACTGCTTGAAACCGGTTCTGCGATTTCAGTTTCTGGTAACCCTACCTTTATATGACTTATTTTTGTATTTTTTTCATGAAATCCTCACCTTTAAATTTATGTAGCGTTTCTATTGAAATTTCCTGTATATTTTATATTGCAGCTCATTTGCAAAAAAATTAAAAAAAAAGGAAAGGAAAGTAAAATTTATTATGCATTTATTTGATATTTTTGTCCACCTAGTTGACGGTGCAGTCTAAGAGCATCTCATCACAATTCGTCGTCTAGGCGCATTTTTAAGCCTTTTGTTTTCTTTTTGTGGTTTGGAGAAGTGGAATTTACAAAGTTGAGAGAAGAAGAAAGACATAGACCGGTTTTCTCGAACGTAAACCAGTTGAAAAACATACTTTTATGTTGGTTTCTAAGGTACACTTGCGTTTAACTTTTAACTTGCATCTCGTGTAGTTATTTATATAGTGTACGTCTGTAAGTCCAGAGTTGTGGCATAATAATTTTGAATGATTGGAGACTATTGTTAAAAAATAAAGAATAGAATTAATGTCAAAATTATGATAAATTTGTTTTTGGTAAATATTTTTAAATGTTTGGCGTTGATATTTAGATATTATTAGTTTCACAATGTGGTATTTTTAAAATCTAATGACTATTTTATTTGAAAATGTTATATAGGAATTGACTGATTATATAATTTTGAGTTAAGTAAGTAAAGTGACCATCCATCCCAATTTAGGCGGGACAGTCCCGATTTTAAACCACTATATAGTCCCGATTTTATCCCGCTTTTGTTCGATTTAAAAAATCTATAAATATTTCATTCAAGCCGTCTAAAAAGGGGCCATTCAAGTATTACGTAAGCACTATAGCTTATTTTGGATGACATGGGGGGTAGTGCCTGATGATTACGTCATCGGTAGTTATTTACTTTTTTTCACGAATGGCAACCCTCACATTGTCTATGCTTGAAAACGAAACGCATTTTCGGAGATTCCCGCAAATAATGCATACGTTTAGGCACTCGCTTTAGAACCGAGTAGGGGAATTACCGCGCGCTATTCACTTGTCTAAATTTCCTCTGTCAGTGTCAGTGTTGCCAGTCTAGTACAATTGTACTAGATCTAGTACATTCTCTGAGAATCTGGTACTCTAGTACACTCGACACAATATCTAGTACTTTTTTCAGCGTATGTTTCCATTTGAAGTGTAAAATATATTGGTCAAAAATTGCAAGAGAAATTAAAATAGTTGTAAAAAAATACTTCAGAGATAAAATAGCAGACATTTCTCGAGAGATAAAACATTGTTTAAAAATTGTACGAGAGATCAAATATTGTTCAAAAATGGCTTGAGAGGTAAAAAAGGGTGTTAAAAATTGATTAAAGTATAAAATAGTATTAGAAATGCTTGAGAGGTAAAATATTGTTCAAAAATTGCTCTAGGGATAAAAATACTGTTAGAAATTTAATGAGAGATAAAAATATTTAATAATTTTTCCAGAAATTAAATAGTATTATAAATTGTTAAAATCGTGTTCAAAAATTGCTCAAGGTAAAATAGTATTACAAAATGTTAAACCCTTGTTCAAAAATTCCTCGAGGGATAAAATTCTATTGAAAAATTTGTTGAGAAATTAAATATTGTTCAAAATTGACTCAAGAGATACCTACTATTAGAAATTTCTCGAAAGATAAAACATTGTTTAAAAATTCCTCGAACGATAAAATACTATTAAAAAATGCTCGAGAGATAAAACATTGTACAAAAATTGCTCGAGATATAAAACATTGTCAAAAATTTATCGAGAGTTAAAATATTTTTACAAATTTGTCGAGAGTTAAAATATTGTGCAGTTTGCTAAAGAGATAAAAAAAAGTTGTTAAAATTTGCTCGAGAGATAGAATAATGTTAGAAATTTATCGAAAGATAAAATATTGTTTAAATATAGCTTAAGAGATAAAAAAAGGTTTAAAAATTGTTCGAGAGATAAAATAGTATCATAAGTTATTAAAATCTTATTCAAAAATTACTCGAGAAAAAAAATACTGTTAAACATTTCTCGAGAGATAAAACATTGTTTAAAAATTGTTAG